CGAGTAAAATTAAAGCGTATTGCTGTTTATGGTGCGAGAGGTACTGCAACTTATAGAAAATAGATTTCAACAATACCGATTTGCCTGAACCTGTTCTACCTGTTAGAATAAGGTGTCTTTTTAATCCTGCAAGTGAAACAGGAACAGGCTTGGGGCTAAAAAATAGAATTCGAGAGTTCTGATAAATTTTTTTACTGCTTTTTTAAAGTTCATAGTTAATGGGATTATCAAATAAAACGGATGTGCTACTTATCTTTTATTTCAAAAAATGCAAGTCCTTTTCAAAAACAGTCCAAAAATGTCAATATACTGCCCCGTACCTTTTTAACTACCTTTTTGAATACCTTTTTGACTACCTCTAAACAAGGCTTCAAACCGTACTGTTTCACAAGTGTTTAGGCTCGTTTTTCAATGCAACAATACCCTTAATTCTTCACTTTTATTATCACTTTTTTTCAATTGTCAAACTTTAAAAATGTAAAGTCAAAAAACACCACAATGTCTTGCAAGTCAAACAAAAATCCATACAAGCACCACCGCCGGTAAACCTATCACATCACATAAAACAAAAATGTAAACAAAATCAAAAAATCAGTTTAGTAATCTTAAAATCTAACAAAATGGAAAACAAAATTAACAAAACCGTAAACCTAGACCTTGTTGGTGTGGATGGCAATGCGTATTCCATCATGGGCGCCTTTAGTCGTCAAGCCAGAAGAGAGGGTTGGAGTCAACAGGAAATCGACCTTGTTCTCGAAGAAGCGCAAAGTGGTGATTACAATCATTTACTCGCTACTATTATGAGCTATTGCGAACCTATTTACGAGGATGATGAAAACCAAGAGTAAAACAAAATTAGTAACCTTTTAAAAATTTACAATCATGGGAACAAGAAGTCTAACTGTTGTTCAGCACAACAACCAAATTAAAGTAGCCCAATATGGGCAATGGGATGGATATCCTAAAGGTCAAGGTATAACATTGTTATCCTTTTTAAAAGATGCCTCCAAAGTAGAAGCTCTTAAGGAGTTGCTACCAAAGGTGCGCTTTCAAACCAAAGAAGATATCCAAGAACTAACCTCCTTTTTAAAATCTATCGGTTGTGAAAACGGATGGATGAATATTGAACAAGGAAATCTATTTAGGAACAAGTATCCTATGCATCACCGTGATGTGGGAGGAGAAATTCTAGATTTAATTCTATTGCACAAAGACTCCAATGAAATCATTCTAACCGACACATACTACTTTGCAGCAGATAGTCTTTGGTGCGAATGGGCGTATGTTGTTGATTTTGATAAAAACACCTTTGAAGTCTATGCGGGTCTTAATACTGCAGAAATCACAAAAGAGGATCGTTTCTTTGATTTATACAAAGAAGACTGTAAGTATAAACCTGTAAAACTCATCATTTCTTTTTCACTTGATACATTACCCACTGAAAAAGAATTCATCGATCACTTCCGCTAAACTTTTAAATTAAAACAAAATGAATCTAAACAAAAACCGTCTCTTGGCAATGTATTTTATAAAAACATTGCAGCATAGAATGCGAAATCATACCTCGGGAACTATTAATCCAGTGTTTATGCACATTCTAAATCAAGAAGAACTTCAAGACATTGTAAAATGGCTTTATGGCGATAAGCTATCAGTTAAGGAAAATTTAAACACCAAAAGCAAAGAAGAACTATTAGACCTTGTTGGAGATGATTTTCATATCCTTTGTTTCACGGTTCAAAAGTGGAATGAAGCGTTAAAAGAAAAAGTAACTTACCAAAAAGTCTATGAAGTGCTGTATCAGTTAGGACTAGAAACCCATTATTTGATGACCAAAGAAATTGAAAAATGGGATGATTACGACCACAGTAACTTTAAATCCTTATCCAAAAAAGCAGGGACTTGTCAGCCACTATATGCCGTTTTTAAAACTGCTACTTGTGAAGAAGACAAATATACCTGTGCACCACTTTCCAAATACTACAACAGTAAATGGGAAGCACAAGTGCAATTATCCTATTTGCTGGTAAAAGAACACTTGGAAGAACACCAACTCAAAATCATAATCCTCTAACTTTTTATCTAATAATCTAAAAATTACAAACATGAAACAATCCATCTTAGAATTTTACGACGATTTAGATAAAGCCAGAGATAGAGCTTTGTGGTTAGAGTTTGAGTACAGAACGCTTCCAAAACATTTTACGGTTTTTGATGGGCCACAGGATAATTATGCAGTGGCAGATTTACAAACGGCTGAGGAATTAGACGTTTCTTGTCATCACTATTCCTTACCTGAAAACTATGAGCATTTGTCCTATACCGAATTGAAAAAAATGGGGCAGGATACAGATTTACTCTCGCATTGGGAAAGTTTATTAGGAACGTTTTCTGTAATGGAAGGCGAATTATTGCGCTTTATCATTGCCTATAAAATTCCGCTTGAGAAAATCATACGCCATGAACTTGGAAACCGTGGGTTTGATACCAATAATAAGTGGATTGGGTTTCAAGAATCAGAAAAACTTTGGAACAAAGAAGATGATAACCTTTAAAAAAAGTCTATCATGAAAATCGACCCAAAGAAAGTGCCTGTAATGAAAAACTATTGCAAAACCTGTCCTTTTAAACCCAATGCGTATGGAAAATGGCAAGATCCTATTTTAGCCGATCAGGTTGTCGCTAGAACCTTGTTTAAAGCCCATCAAATTTGTCATGGTACAGAAAAAGAAGACAGAACGCCAACAAATCGTTGCAAAGGAGCCTTTGAACATAACTTGGAAATCTACAAAAGATTAGGCCTTGATGATTTAGTGGAATAAAACAAAATCTTTACAACAAAATGGAAAACAAAAGGTATGTAAAACAGATAATGGTTTTGGGTAAAGAAAAACATCAAGAATACTTGGATGATTTCTTTGAAGAACCATTGGACTTTGAAGGCTTTGTCAATTTTATGCTAGGCTCACTCTATGATGAAGACCGATTTGTTGAACAAGTGCTTCCTAATGCAGATCATTCACAAGTTCTTATAGTTTATAAAATAAAAATATAAATCTATTTAAAATGAAAAAAGTCTATGCCATATTCTTAGCCGATTCAAATGGAAACTTCGACTGGGTATTGACTGATCCAAAACCTATATATCAGTCCAAAGAAGAAGCCGAGCAAGTTCGAGAACAATTAATTAAAACAGAAAAAACCATTACCCATCAAAATTCTAAAGTAGTGGAATTGTATCAAATGGAGCAAAATATAAAATTAAATTAAAATGTATAACCGTTAAATCCATGTATCATGAATGAAAACAAAACCGCACTGCTAAAAATATTTTCAGCAGTTTTGAAAGACCGAGCCAAATCGGAACTTCAATACCAACTCATTAGTCCAGAGATGTTAAAATTCTTTTCTCGAAAAGAACTCATCGAAATCATCACCCATAATTGTGATGGGCAGTTCCCTGCTGATTATAATCTTGCAGAGATGGAAAACGAGGAACTTTTGCAACTCATAGGAGATGATTTTAGTATCATTTCCTACGTTATGAGCAAATGGAGTAAAGAGGCCGTGATGCTTCCAACCAAAAAACAGTGGATTGATTCTAAAATCCATACAGCTCCAATTGAAGAAGTAACAGATAATCCATCCGTACCTACCAAATCACAAACCATTGAAATGGGGGCTGAAAATTCTGAACAAAAAAACCAAGAAGTTGCTTTAGATTCTAAAACTGCTTCTAAAAAAGGGATTCCCGAAAAGAGCAAATAATCTAAAAGGAATCTTTATCTAATGGCTTGTTTTTACGAGCCATTTTCATTTGAAAAGTGAGTGTCTTATATATTTTATCTTCTTTAAAAACAAAATGAATACAAACCCAATTAATAAACCCAACAAACCAAGAATCATTTTAAAAACACCTATTTCCTATTACGGAGGCAAACAAAACATGTTAAAACACATCTTACCACTAGTGCCTGAACATAAGATATACATTGAACCTTATTTTGGTTGATGAAGTTTGTTTTGGGCAAAAGAACCATCAAAAACAGAAGTCATTAACGATGTGAATATGAATCTTGTAAACTTCTATCAAGTACTCAAAAATAATGGTGCAGCACTTGAAATGAAGATTAAAGAAACCCTCCACAGTAGAGAAACTTATAAAAAAGCTATGCTTATCTATGATTGTCCTTGGCTCTTTGCAGATGACCCTATAATTAGAGCTTGGGCACTGTATGTGGTAACCAATCAAGGGTTTCTACACATGGTGGGTAGCCGAGGATTTGACAAAAAACATAAATCTGCTCAAGTATTTAAAAACAAAGTCGATTTATTTGGAATCGATTTAATAGAGAGAATTCGTTTTACACAAATAGAACAAAACGAAGCTTATAAAGTAATACTCAGTAGAGACTCTGAAGAAGCATTCATTTACGCTGACCCACCTTACATCAATACCAATATGGGACACTATGCCAAAACGTACACTCAGGCTGATTTTATTCGTGATTTAGATGTACTTGCCCATATCAAATGAAAATTTCTGCTCTCGAATTTTCCTTGAGAAATACTTGATTCGTACATCAAAAAATACAATTGGTATGTTAAAACTTTTGATAAACCGCTTTCGGCTAGTCACAACACTAAATCTTGAATGACAAGAAGAAAAACGGAAGTCTTGGTGGCAAATTATCCAATATAATAGCCCCAAACAAAGCCCCCAACCCCCGAAGGGGGCTATAAAGAAACTACAAATAATCTGTTTTAACTTTTAAAACAAAAAATGAAATGAAAACTTCAAAACAAAAACCTTTGCATCAAAGAAAAACAATTATCCTACGTAAAATCAAACCAAGAGTGAAACAAAGAGTCTTTAAAAACGAAGAAATTCCTATGAGAAAAATCAAAAAAGATTTTGCAAAATTTAACCTACAACCGAACGCTAAAAACCCACTATCCTCCACCTGATAACTTAAAGGTCTTTGGAACATTTGTGTGAGGTGGTGGCTCTACCATGGGTTACAAGCTCGCAGGATTTAATCACTTGGGAGGGGTGGAAATAGACCCCAAGATGGCTAAAGTCTATCAAAAAAATCATCAACCTAAACATTTCTTTTTAGAAGACATTAGAGATTTTAATTTACGTGAAAACCTACCCGAAGAATTGTTTGATTTGGATATTTTAGACGGCTCGCCTCCTTGTAGCACCTTCTCCATGTCAGGTCATCGTGAACAGACTCGAGGTAAAGAAAAAATATTTAAAGAAGGACAGAAAAAACAAATCCTAGATGAGCTCGTATTTGTCTTTTGTGATACCGTTGAAAAATTACTACCCAAAGTTGTAATTATGGAAAATGTGCCAGGACTCATTGCAGGAAAAGCTAAAAAATATGCCATCGAAGTTTATGATAGATTAAACAATCTTGGTTACAAAGTACAATTATTTAGATTGAATGCTGCCACAATGGGAGTGCCTCAAGCTCGTGAACGTATCTTTTTTATCGCAAGAAAAAAACAGTTTAATTGGGATGATTTAGAATTAGATTTCAAAGAACCTCCTATTTATTTTGGAGATGTTGTTGAAAAAAATGCCACTTCACACAAACCCCTTCGGGATTCGATTGTTAAAAGACGACCCTTTGTACAATACGGCGACCAAAACCTCAAATTCGCCGATGCTAAATACAGAAACCTTACTACTTTTAATGCCTTTTTCAGCACCTATGTCATTTACGACCATATTGTAGCTCCCACACTTACCTCAAGTGGTGCCAATGTGTATTACAATGAAGTGCGTAATCTAAGTGATACCGAATACATCCGTATTAGTAGTTTTCCCACCGATTATGATTTCTGTGGTACGGATGTTCGTTATGTTTGTGGCATGAGTGTGCCACCTCTGATGAGCGCTAGAATAGCTTTGGAAATTAGAAGGCAGTGGTTTGAAAGAAAAATATAGAATATTTATTTTCTACTAATATAATATGAAACCAACAAAAACTAAAAATCCAAATGTAGCTACTTGAGCGTCGTTTCCCAACACAAGACAAAGAGTATATAAACCAAGAAAATATGTAACGACTTGATTCAGATTAGAATTTGATAAGAATTCAAAACCCGTTTGTGAAGGTCAAGTGTTATCGGAATTGCTATGGGTTGTAGAACAAATAAGAAAAGAAAATCAAACTGTCTCATAAATGAGATGGTTTTTTTATGCTTGAATTTTTTTAAATCAATTCCCTTATCCAACTGTTCGAATGTTCGATTTTGATTTGCAATTTTTTAATGAATAAGTACAATTAATTATTCAAAAAATCGAACATTTATTTTTAATACATAATACGATGCTTAAAAACAAAAGAGTTTCAAAAAAGAATCCTGTTCTTATTAGAGAGGATATAAGATATGTCATCTATTGCAGAAAATCTAGAGAAGAAAGTAGCGATGGACAAAAGCAAAGTTTACTAGATCAATTAAGGTCTTGCTTGGATTATGCTGATCAAAAAAAATTAAGTTTAGCCCATCACAATGAACTTACTGATGAGTTTTTTCGTGATGAAAGTTATCAAAGACGAGCGAGTGAATGCAATGGTGCTTATGAACAATCCATTTTAGAAAGAGCCAATGGCCTTTTTTATGTTGTAGAACAAAAATCTGCTAAAGTACCTGACAACAGACCTCTTCGAAGCAAACTTATTGCCCTTGTTAAGAAGTGAAAAATAAAAGGAATATTAAGCTATGCTCCCGATAGACACGCCAGAAATTTAGTGGAAAGTGGCGAATTAGTGCAGCTTATTGACCAGAATTTTTTGGATGTACAATACACCAATTTTACTTTTGAAAATAACGAAAACGGAAGGATGATTCTCGGAATTAACTTTGTTATTTCTTATAACTACTCCGATGTGCTGAGTAAAAATATTGGACGCTGAAAAATGGGAGTTATTGAAAGAGGACAGGCGGATTGAAAACATAAATACGGCTACATTGTTAATGAAAGTAAATATCACGAACCAGACCCCGAATATTTTGAAATTTGGAAAGAAGCCTTTAGAAGAAAAGTCTATGAAAACCAATCCGATGAAGTTATTGGAAGATATATCATTTCTTCGTGATTTAAAAGAAAATTTAAAAACAAAAACAGAGAATCAAAACTCAATGTTAAATGATTATATAGAATTTGGTTAGACCCATTTTATTATGGGATTCTCATCAGCTGAAATAATGAAGTCGATTTGCGTGACGGAGCAAATCCCTATTACCAACCACTAATTACAGAAGAAGAACATCAAATATTACTCGACAGGCATTTACAGGCTAATCCTGTTTCTTTGAGGACGTATAAAACAATTGATGAGTATGACGAAATTAAACCTTTTGCAAATCAATTCATCTTGTTTAATGGAACTAATCCTATGGTCTTTGAACTTCCTAATCCTAAAAGACATCGCAGTACACTAGCAAGGTTAAAAGTCAGCAAACCCGAAGCTACACTTAAAGATGTAGTACAACCGCATCAAATCAATTACAAGCTCACAGGGAGCAAAGTAAATGGAAAGAGTTTCTCAATTCGTTGAGATGAACTCATTTTACGTGTTTCTGAATGTCTTAAAGAATTTTTTAATGTAAAGATGAAAAACTTTGATAAATACAGAGAATTCCAAATTAAAGAATATGACCGTACTATGAAAAAAATTAGTGAAAAAAGAAGAACACTACAACTTCAAATCAACCACACCAGTTCCTTAATGGAGAATTACGCTAGAAATTTTAACAAGCAGAATAATCCTGATGAATTACAAAAAAAAGTATACCAAACGGATATACAAAAGTATCAAGATCAAATTGATTACTTACAACAAGAATTAGGAAAACTAGTTGCAAATCATAGAAATACTGTATTGGAACTGGATGCTTTTATTCAAGGAGTTGGACAAATGCATAAAGATTATGATATAGCTCCTTATGTTCGAAAGAGAAAAATCACATCAATGCTGTTTTCGAACATCATAATAACACCCGAAAAGCAAGTTATAATCAAGGCTAATCAATGATTAGAGGGGGTGTTTACCTCAAATAATGGAGGTGTTCGGGAAGATTTCGAACATGTCAATAGGATTATTAACGAAATAGATTTCTCTACTCTTAAGCCTATAATACAGTTTGCATATAGTATAAACAAGAGTTTTTTTGATAAAAATTATAAAATCACTCCCGAGCAAAAAACGTTATATGGACTTGATTAATCACAAATGAACCATTTTTAATACATTTAGTGTCAATATACTACACTGTACCTTTTTGGAAACTTTTTTAGGAAATTAAAAACTTGTAGCAAGGTAGTATTAATGGTTATTTTTATTCAATTTTTGAAATATAAAAAAACTACTCTGGTCAATCCAATTATCTTTAAAGCACTTGCACTTGATGTTTTATTTATCTATTAACTCCTTGCCGGCATATTTATTTTTTAATCATATTTGCCATGAGAACTCCGAGAAAAAATTTTGTTACCACTTGAATTCGTTTAGAATTTAATAAGAACTCTAAACCAGTTTGTGAAGGTCAGTTTCTTTCTGAATTAGTTTCACTAATAGAAGAATTGGCTGAAACAGATGAAGAATTAAAAAAAACATTAAGATATACTTACATTACTGATGAAGAATATCATAAACGATTAGAAAAACAATGAAGAGCAAGTGAAAAATAAAATATAGTATATAAATATTACGAGAGTCTGAACTACTTCGAATCTTTGAACAGATAGAAAAAGAGAATGAAGAAAAAAAGAGGCTTGATGAGGAGAGTGAGAGAAAAAAAACATCTGATCTTGAATAGTAGATAAGAATATATAAGATGAGATATATTTATCTATAAATCAAGTTCTATGATAGCAAATAATTCTTCTGCATTAAAACTTAATCTTAAAAAAACAGCAGGTATGCTCAATAAAATAGAGCGTATGATTGATGAAAATGTATATTGTGCTGATGTTGCTCAACAGATTAATGCATCTATAGGTCTTCTAAAAAAAATGAATGAAATTATACTCACTGATCATATCAGTTGTTGTGGTCCAAAAAAACTTAATTGATCAAAAATAGAATCAGAACAATTTGTTCAGGAGGTTATGAAATTAACTAAAATGATGTGATAAATCTTTCTTAATTATCTCTTGCATTTTTATTTTTTTAGTATAATATACCTATACCATAGGTTATGGTATTTTATATCCTAATTATCACTATCATGAAAAAAAGTTGTAATTGTGTATCATGCACATGTATAAATTGTACTTGTTGTACTGATTGTAAAACTTCATAATCACATATAGAAGGAAGTTATTATGACTTCCTTGTTTTTATAACTTACTATTTTCATGATACAACAATATAAAAATCTCCGAATGTGATTGGCTATAATTATTATTATAAGTTTTGTTATTAGTCAATTCTACTATGATTTTCCGCTATGATCTATGATGGATATGCAAGTATTAATGTGAATATGGTTTCTTATATTTGGTCTGATGAAATTACCTGATATTAAATGATTTGCTACTCTATTTCGTCAATACGATCCTTTAGCAAAATATATAAGTTGATATGGTTTAATATATCCTTTTATAGAAATAGCATTATGAATTTTATATCTTCGAGATATGCAGATGAGATATTCATTACCTATGAATATAATAACAGCTATCATTACAGGTATTACATCTCTAGGTATAATAAATAAAATCTATAGAGGTTCTAAAATTACTTGTGCTTGTATGTGAAATAAAATAACTACTCCACTCTGACGACCATCACTCATAGAACAGATATGAATGTGTATAATGGCTCTTTGGATGATAGGTATGATGCTTTAATTTTAATTCTTTATTTATTATAATTTTATGAATACATCTAAACTTATCTCTCTTTATCTTGCAAATCTTTTCTTCTTTTTGGGAATAGGTCTATTTGGTGGATCACTTGTACATATCACGCGAGATCCAGTATTATATTGAACTATTGCGGCTATATGATTATGATTGTTTCTTATATGATCGTATATCAAGCTGAATGTAGAATATAAACATTTAACTCTTCATCAAGTTCTGTCTGTTATGATTGCATCATTTTTCTTTGCATGAGGTGTAGGTGTAGTGAGTTGAGCAATCCAACATTTTACTGAAATATGATCATTAGGTCCACGATATATTTCCTTGGGTATTCCGTTCTCATTATTTGCTTTTCGAAAAAAAGAACAAATTAGTATTACAGCAAAACAATGGAAAATGATGCTTATAGGATGAATTATCACATCTCTTATCCTATTTTTTATTAGTAATATGGTATTGAGCTATCTCCAAGCTCATCCATTAGAAGAATCATGACATCACTCTGAAACAGTAACTACAAATCATGATGATTTTTTAGATACTCCAGTTGAATCAATCATACAAGAAACTTCTTCTGCTCATGAAGATGGCGATCACCATTAATATTTTTATATTTTGTTAATTATAACCATGAAAAAACTTCTTACTCTGACTGCCGTATCTAGTTTGGTAGTATTATGATGATGTTTACATCAAAAAACAGAAGAAAAAACTGCTGATACTATGTGATGAATGAAAGTATCTGCTGAACATTGTGCTATGATGCCGAATATGGCTGGTTGTGAACAATTTAAATCTACTGATACTCAAGATAATAGTATGATGTGACATACAATGAATCACGCTGATATGGTTAGTTCTGAATTTGATTTTATCTATCTGATGATCCCACATCACCAAGAAGCAGTAGATACATCAAAATCTCTTAATTCTATAACTCAAAATACAGAACTAAAAACGTTGACTCAAAATATTATTAACGGACAATCTCAAGAGATT